TATGGATATGGATATAGATATAGATATATGTATGTATGTATGTATGTATATATATATATATAGCCAGTTTCCACGACATTCCCATGGTCTCAACATGTGTTTCAGAAGTCTGAGTATCGACTGCATAAACTGCCGTTCGTACATGCTTCTAGGTTCTTGATACTTTTTGTGTGTGCCTACCAATCTCTAAGTGTGTATGCACAAAGCTTTCTATAGTGTGTACTGTGAGGATCGTGTAGATATCACCTGGCCTGTCAACGTGCATGTCGGGTGCTTATGAACATGCCCTCCCTCTCGTCATACTGTTGTATCATCCCAGCCAGTTCGTTTATCATGTTACGTCTATCACGCTGGGTGTTCCCATTGTTGGTCGCCCGGATTTAATTTTTTTTCGGTCATGCTTCGGTTTCTCGAAGTATGTTGTTCGATTTCTCGATTGCTTAATCCCACAATACCATCTGCCATCTGATCGATTGAATCCATGTTGTGTATACTATATTCAATATATATGCATCCCTGTATGTATATGTCAGTGTCGTAGCGTGTCCACACCATCCAGGGTCTCTATGGCAATTCCGGGCCGTCCGCAATGGTTGTCTTTGGCTTGAAGTGAGGCTTATATGTACGCCTACACAGATATCAAATAAGTCATCACATGAATATACCTCCCATCCTACAGAATACGGCGAGTTTCTGCATAAACCTGGACGTCTCTTCGATAACTTCGACGAGATCCGCAATGAAATTGAGGCCGATACAGCGCGTATCACAGGCGCCAACAAAGGCATTAGTCATCTGCCCATTAACTTGAAGGTGTACTCGCCCCACGTGCTGGATTTGACCTTGGTTGATTTGCCTGGATTAACCAAAGTGGCGGTGGGAGACCAGCCGGCGGATATTGAAATGCAGATTAAGAGTATGTGTCTGGAGTGTGGTGGGGATTGTATATATGTTTGTGGGTATGCATATGCATATTATGTGTGTCTCTGTATGTACACGTGCGTATATATATATCTAATTATATAATATGTATTTATATATATATATATATGTATGTATGTATGTATGTATGTATATAAAAATGTATGTATGTATGCATAGTCTGTCTATATATTTTTATTTGTATCTTTAAATATGAGTGAACAATTGCTCGCAATTTCTACTAGTTCTACACATATTGTATTTGAATCTACATCTGCAAACGTGCGACGTATGAGTACTAATGTATGCAAATGGACTCCTACAAAGTGCCCGTTCCTAACCAATCCTTGATTTGCATGTACGTCAGATATGATTATGATAATAATCGCTGTATCTGATACTATATGTGAATCGATTCTCGTGAAGTTGAACTTTGAAACATTATGTTTACATAGCCTTATCTATATGTGTGGGTGGTTGGGTGAGTGGGTGGGTGTGGGTGTGGGTATGTGCGTATATTGAGGCGCAATACATGTGTATGTGTGTATCATCTGCACTGTATGTGTGGACAGATGATTACATCGTCCACACTACCTGTGGGGCCCTTTCCTTGCCCTCGATATGCAGTGATTTTCTTCTTCATACGGTCTGGCAGCTGTCATTTGTGCGGTAGTCCTAAATTGAGCTTAAAAGCACGTGATTGTACACGTTCAGATAGCCGCGTGCGTGCCCCAACCCAATCTGCGTACTCCTACTCACCACCACCCACTCTCCCCACAGATATGATCATGGAGTTCATTACCAAGCCCAACTGTTTAATCCTGGCGGTGACTCCGGCGAACAGTGATCTGGCCAACTCCGATGCGCTGAAGCTCGCAAAGGAGGTAGATCCTCAAGGACTCCGAACTATCGGAGTGATCACTAAGCTGGATCTCATGGATGCAGGAACGGATGCCAGAGATGTTCTCGAAAACAAGCTGCTGCCGTTGAGACGCGGGTGAGTGACCGATCCCACTTATAACTATGCCGCGTATGCGTTTGAATCGATGTGTGTCTGAGCTTGCACCTTACTCGTGTTAAGATATGTATGTGTAATTACGTAGAAATATTCCTGAACATAAGCTCCTGCTTCTAAGATGTGGGTGCGTAAATCAGTTTCGGGACTTCGGGATTGGTATATATGTAGAAGCTTTAACATGTGGGACATGTGGAGTGTTTTGATTTCTGTACGACTTTACCCTGCTCCGTGTCCGGATATGTATTTGACATAATGAAGCGATATCTCGCCATGTGATTGGAGGCCTCTTAGGCGTGGGTGAGTGAAATGTGCCGTATGTATTGGAGCGAGCTAGCATGTACCGAACTGTCTTGTTTTCAAAATATTTTGTGACTCCTGGGAGCTCTGATGAACATTTGTCCATTTAGGTCGGCTGTATAAGGGTTTTTGCTTGTCATAGCATCAGGCAAATAAACATGTACAATTAAGCCCTATCACATGAATACAGGGCCGATATGTACATACATTTACGTAGCTAAAATATATATTTAATCGCCGCTTTCGCAGCTATGTGGGTGTAGTTAATCGAAGTCAGAAAGATATTGCCGGCAACAAAGACATCCGGGCCGCTCAGGCTGCGGAGAAGAAGTTTTTCAAAACACACCCAGCATACAGACATCTGGCGGACAAGATGGGAACTCCCAAGCTCCAGCAGGTGTGTCGCCGGGTTATATTCGTGACTGTATAGACGTTTGAAACGATACATATGCCTATCTAAATAGGTGATGTTCATGCATGTGTGAACCATCTTTTGGTACGTACCGCATGTACTGAATGCGTATGTATACCACTTCGGGCTATGTTGTGATGTGGGTGCGGATGTAATCCTGTACTGTACAACCGTTTATCTAGATACTTACCTTGATGCATAGTTATAGCGGCGATAATGCTGTGACTACCATATGTGAGTCACCTCGTCAATCCAGGCTATTTTTTTACTTCTACTTCTTGCTACATATCTCAAGCTGACTAAGGAGCTTTGCCCAGAGGTACTTTACTAGGCATTAGTTGTTTGAACCTAGTTACCGAATGCCCCTACCGGATGAAAATCGTTGGGTATGAGGTCGGGTAGCTGCCACGCATACTTTCTCGTGTGTATGTATATATACATCTGTGGTACATACTCGTGTGCATATATATTTGTGAGGGGGAGTATGTATTTATGTATGTATGTATGTATGTATGTATATATATATATATATATATATAATGTATGTCTGTCTATCCATGTATATACGATGTATGCACCTATATATATATACATATATATATATATATACATATATATATATATATATATACTAATATACATATATATATATATATATATATGTGTGTGTGTGTGTGTATGTATGTATATATATATATATATTTACGTGCTGGTGTACACATGGCTTCATACTCAATTATAAATTGCCATGGATTTGAACAGGTACTGAACCAGCAGTTGACGGACCATATCCGTCAAACACTACCGGAACTCAAGGGTCAGCTACAAGGTGTGCGAGAACTTGTTTTGTATACTCGACGAGTTATGGATATGCACACGTAGGTATTTACATATTAGGTTAAATCCATTTTTTTTCTTCAGTTTTGGTGCATTTAGGGAAGGCGTACCAGATTCGCTATGTACTTTACCTACCTATTTTTGAGCAAGCCTGGCGTAGGGGTTAGGTCATCCGGTGTACGTAAAAGTATAAAGACTATATTTTTTGTACATGTGCAAATTATTACACTTTGGTTTCTTTGTTTGTGTATATGTACTCGCACACCTTGATCAAGCTGTTTGGCTTACATATTTTTCTTCCCTTTCGGACCTTGTGGTGTTTTTCGAGCGCTGGCTTCACTCACTATTTGACGCGCAATGAACACCTTTTAAATCTAATCTGATTTCTGAAATGGCCCCCCGCCCCCCCCCACATGGTTGAAATCTCTTATAGGACAATGGCCCTTCAAAAGATCCCCACTCAGGGGCCATACATAACCAATACGAGTACGATCGATGGCATGCACGCACCAGACACGTCACCCAAACTAAATGTACAATTACAATTATTTAAACTTCGTTTACATCCCGCACTTCCGTGGCGCAGGGGAGGTAACCAGGCTGGAGAAAGACTGTAGCGAATTCAAGAACATGGGCACTGGCAAAGGCGCGTCTACAAAGGCCATGATGTCGTACATGCACATGTTCAGCGATGACTGGTGGAAGTCTATCGACGGTTCAGGCGATCTGGTTTCTCTGGAGGAGCTATCAGGTAGGTGTGGGTGTGCTGGGGTAATCGTAGATGAACGTGCAACTTGTTGCTTTGTATACATATGTGTATGTGTATGTGTCTGTGTGCTGGAATAATCGTAGATGAACGTGCTACCTGTTGCATTGTATACATATGTTTGTGTGTGTGTGTCTGTGTGCTGAGGTAGTCGTAGATGAACATGCTACTTGTAGCATTGTATACATAGTGTGTGTGTATTGGGGTAATCGTAGATGAACGTGCTACCTGTTGCATTGTATACACATGTTTGTGTGTGTGTGTCTGTGTGCTGAGGTAGTCGTAGATGAACATGCTACTTGTAGCATTGTATACATAGTGTGTGTGTATTGGGGTAATCGTAGATGAACGTGCTACCTGTTGCATTGTATACATATATATATATGTGTGTGTCCGTGTGCTGAGGTAATCGTAGATGAACGTGCCCTTGTTGCTTTTTATACATATTTTTGTGTGCGTGTGTCTGTGTGCTGGGGTAATCGTAGATGAACGTGCTACCTGTTGTATTGTATACATATGTCTGTGTGTCTGTGTGTTGAGGTGATCGTAGATGAACGTGCAACCTGTTGCATTGTATACATATGTGTGATACGTGTGTGTCTGTGTGCTGAGGTATTCGTAGATGAACGTACTACTTGTTGCATTGTATTCATATGTTTGTGTGTGTGTGTGTGTGTGTGATCATTCATGCGTTTTTCGTTGTGTGTGTGAGTGTTTAGCGATGACGGTTTAAGGTCTATCGAGGGTTCAGGCGATCTGGTTTCTTTGAAAGAAGTGTCAGGTAGGTGTCGCTGCGCTACTATTAACGTATTGTCATAAATTTGTGTATTACGGTGCACTTTGAAGTATGAAGGTGATTGGTTTTCATGATATGCATATGTTTGTGTGTGTGTGAATATGTGTGGATGTACCTCGTATCAACAACCCAAATCGCAGATAGGTTTTCATATACACATATGTACTTCTATGTGTACTTAATACACCAATTACATGCACAGCTCTATGTAGAATGTATATTTCTTACTTTTGGTATACTCGCGATTGGATCTGAACCCACCGTATTCAAAAAACGTTCAATCGCATTGCTCGTCTCTCCACAGGCGGTGCCAAAATCAACCGCATTTTCTTTGAGCGTTTCCCGTATGAGCTCAATAAGTTCGAAATTGACGAACGCAAACTGCGCAAAGAGATTCTGTACGCCATCAAGAACATCCACGGTATCAGAACGGGCCTCTTCACTCCCGACCAGGCCTTTGAGGCGATCTGCAGAAAACTCATCGAAAGGTGTGGATGCGAATTGTATTGTATTGTGGTTGGGGGTGGGGGTGTACGCTTGGCTGGGGGCGTGTATGTTTTTGTTTTGTTTTGTTGTTGTTTGAGAGTGCTAAATGTGTGGTGGTGATTGGCGGAAGACAGGACTGAACAGCGGAATTATTCGCTCTGCTCTAGTGTCGAGCTGATACTTCTATTATATACTTAGGTTATAGCGTGGGTATGTGTGTGTGCTTGATAGTACATTTTTATACATATGACTTTTTGCGCGCGCATGAGTGTCTATAGACATATATTGCCATGTTATCTATGGCGAGAGATACAAATGAGCGTGTGCGCACGGCACTTTCTTAGGTGCATGAAGTGCATGTGAGCGTCTGTTCGAGTGTACGCGGATGTCTGTGTGACGTACGTGAAGGCGACTTCCGATGATCAATAGTATACCTTTCCATCTACCGACATACATATCCTGTGTTGAGTCATCTACCTGCATATCCGGTGTTGAGTTGAGAATGCAACCACTCTGTCATCTACGTGTACTTTCCCGAACATGGGGGTTCACATCTGGCAACTTTCTTACTTAGCTGGTTCCTCGTCCCCAAAGTAATATTTATCATCTGAGTTTTTGTGAGTCCAATTCTGAACTTCCAATCACACCCCAAGTCCATGTACTTACACAATTGGCACATATTCTTGCAAACACACAGAATGCGAGCGCCTTCGTTGCTTTGTGTTGAGTTGAGTATGCAAGAGTTGATTGTCATCACCTCCTCGGCCACACGGCGCATTGAGAAGTTCCCGCGACTCAGAGAAGAGCTCGAGCGCATCGCTGTGGAACAGATCAAAGAATGCCATCAGAAGACTAACGATCAGGTATGAGGGGTCACGGTAGGTTCTTGAGCCTGTTCTTTATCTATATA